AATGATAATAAAAATATTATCCCACACCCAAGAACACCTCCTGTAGAGAAGTTGCCCATACCTGAATCTGTCGAAGTTGTTTCAAAACATTACCCCAAAAGAACTGGAAATGAGATACCTGATTACGTAGAAAGTGATCTAGACGATAGTGAACTTGAAGGTGAGGCACGAGTTATACCCAAAATACCTGTGCAACCCAATCAGAAACTGCCTCATAATATACAAGATACTGATTCCGAAGAGGACTCAAGGAATAATAGTTCGGATGAGTCCGTAAATAACGATAACGACACCGCTAATATAGTTAAGGTTAAAGAAGCCATACATGTGCGCAACGACAATGTTGCTTATTTTATAAGCAGCAATGTACAACCTTGTGACGAAGGCGCTCGAAAATTGATAGAAAATAAGAAAATTAATACTAAGGTAATCTTACAAGTGGGTGAAGTCTCAAAAGAAAAGAAGAAGAAGAACTATCATCAATTTGGACTCTGCATACGAGGAGACCACCCAGAATCGTTAACTTATATTAAGGATTATATACATATTACTTTAAAAATATTAAGAGATTTGCTAATTAATACTAATCAAACTGAAGTCTGTATGGCTCAGAGTAAACATGTAGAGAATTTAAGTTGGTTAGAAATAGAGTATTTATTAGATAGTGTCTTTAGAAATAGTGGAATAAAATTAATAATTTGTACAGATAAGTTAGAGTATGTACCCTTAGAACACCGCGACGGAATCTTTTATGAATTCCATAAATCCCCGATTGGAGGACATCGTGGCGTTTCAAAAACCTTTCATCGGATCAGGCAAGAATATTATTAGGAAAATCTAAAAGACGATATACAAAGGCGAATCCAACAGTGTCTAGAATGTCAATTGAAGAAATTAACTCGTTTACAGACCAAACAACCTATGATAATAACTGATACATGTGCTACAGTGTTTGATAAAATTGCTATGGATATTGTAGGCCCTCTAAAAAGAATAATAAAAGGAAATGAATACATTTTAACCTTACAGGATCAATTAAGTAAATTTTGTCTAGCTGTCCCATTAGACACCTTATCATCAACAATAGCGGACGCATTTCTTAAGAAATTCATTTGTGTTTTTAGATGTCCGAAAGCTGTGCTTACTGATCAAGGCAGAAATTTTTTGAGTTCACTAATGACGCGTATTTCCAAGCGATTCAAGATAAAGAAATTAAAAACCACAGCATTCATGCCTCAGTCGAACGGTTCCCTAGAGAGATCTCATCACGTATTAATTGAGTACTTAAAGCAATACACCGATCTTGACAACGATTGGGATGATTGGCTCGACCTAACTATCCTAAACTACAATACCTGTGTACAAGAAAGTACCAAACATACGCCGTATGAAGTTGTATTTAGCCGCTTATCTCGAATGCCCTCAAATAATCCCCTTCGTGAAAGCGATACGTTACCTACATATAAAGGATATATAATAGATTTAGTTGCGCGTTTATGTAGTATACGAAAATTAGCTTACGAAAATTTAGTTAGCTCTAAAGAAAAATCAAAAAAATATTATGATAGACATATAAATCCAAAAGATTTAGTTTAGGTGATTACGTTTTCTTAAAATCAGGACCTAAACCAGGGAAATTCGGGGATCATTACTCAGGGCCTTATAAAATAGTTGGTATTCTTCCAAAACATAATGTAAAAATAGAGACTAAAAAGGGCACAAAAATAGTTCATTCAAATAGACTCCGAATTTCGCATATAAACAAATTAACCAAAGAAAATAAGCCGAAATAGAAAAAAGGGGAGAGAGGAAAAATATAATATAATATAAAATAAAATGAGATAAATCATAAAACAAAATATATATATTATAAAACAAACAATAGATAATTAAACAAAAGGAACATATAATGAAATATTTTCTGATTACAGAACCGAAAACATGATGCATTCTTCTCTGTTATCACTGATATTTTTAACAATAACTAATCCAGTTACAGCCATCATAGGATATGACTGCGGAGCAAGATCTCTTAATATAACCACTATATCTTTATTAAGCGTGGAAGAATGTGAAATGCCTTCTACAAAAATAAACGTAACAAGAAAATACATTAAATTATTACAGTTAAATAACTATGAAACTGCTCAAGTGATTCAATGTAAAGTCCAAGTAGACCGAACTGTTTATTATTGTGGAATGCATTCACATAATTCCATAATAGAGAATGGTGCAATAGAATATTTAATGGATGTAAGCCAACAAACGTGTTATGATTTACACAAAAGCGGTACATTTTACTTTGACAATTCACATGTAATTCGAGATATTAAAGTTAATCAAATCACAGTTAGACCCGCTATACTTGCAGGAAGCGTAGATCATAATGGAGAATGTACCTATGGTAGTTATTCCGATGCTTATGGAAGCTGGAATTCTTGATGGAACTTCGTGAAAAAAAAAGATATCCGAGCATACTCAACGGCATTTGAAAGAAGAAAACTCATACTTTAATTTGATGTATACAGTTTTTTGAAAAAAAATTTCTTTTCTTTGCTACATAACCTCAAATATAGGCAAAAATCGCGTTTTTTGCACTTTAAGGTTAGGATATCTCGAAAAGCGAAGCCACCAGAGTAATTCTGACCTCGGATTCGGATTCAGCGCGCAAAAAACCTTCGGAAAACTATACTCGGGTTCTTGGTAAAATTTTTTGTCGGCCTGTGTTATGTAACATAATAAGATCAGAAAAATGTTTTAAAAAGTTTTTCCGAGGTCTAAATCTATACACGTTTAGTGGTTGGGAAAATTCAGTGGCACCAGCACTTTAGTTCCTTTATTGGTATTAGTAAAAATCTTTTCTTTTCGTACTATCCAAGAGTCTAGACACAAAACAGTTTAGTTTTCCGCAATATGTAAAATGTCTTATATAATATAACTATTTTATAATATATTTAAATGTTTTCCAAAACTTGATGTCTTGGCAAGAATATTTTCAGCTTTATATAAAGTTTTTTCTACAATTGGTTCAAAATGACCATTAGTTTCTTGTAAAATGATTAACAAAGGTAATTTTAAAATATCATCGGCAGAAATAATTGGTTATACAGTATAACTATAAGTCAGGAAATTCAGAGATTGAGCAAGATATTTAATATTTAAAGTATCTGCAATAGCCAAAGTACGAGGGTGGGTCAATAAATCCCTAGAAAATCCAAGAGATGGTGCTCAAAGCATTCCTACTTATGATGCACTAGTAAGCGTCACTATTAAATAGAGTGCTGCCGAAGTTTCAGTCAGATCCATCGAGTAGTTCCGTTATCGTCGATCAAAGTGAACAACTTTTGTTTCTTGTTAACAATGGAAAAAAGTGAGTTCCGGTGGTGATAAATTACTTCTATTTAAAAGGCCTTACACCGAAAGAAATAAAAGCTGAGTTAGATGCAGGCTATTTATCAATAAAACATTGAAATCGTAAATAAATTTAAATGAAATGTCATTAATTTTTATCAAGTTGAAAAGAAGTTTTATATTTGCATATGATTCTTTGATTTCAGGATCATTACAAAATAATATTAATTTTTTTATGCTAGTTCACTTATTAGTCATGTTTCTTCCATCATAATTTAGTTTCATTTTTACCGAACAATAATTATCTAAAACATTATCTCTTAATTAATCTGGAGGATCAGGTATAGCAGAGATACAAATTTTACAGAAGTATAGAGGTATTATCCACTATCAGCCACAATTTCAGCATTGCAGTTACCGACAATATTCCTGTTTTCTACTACATATTTTGACAGTTTTTCAGTATTTGCATAAATAACAGACAATTCTTTTATTCATTGTTTTTTTCAGTCTCGAATTCTAGTGTCTCGCTTTTACATACATTTTGGAATAACTTTGTTCGTCTACTACATATTGCGCATAATTTATTGGTATAACCTTTCTTTCTAGATTTTCGGATGAGGCTTGTAAATTTTTTCATATATTTACCTGAATCTCCTGTTTCCACTTAGAAATTATCTAAACTTTTCGTACTAAAACAGTCTTTAGTATACTTCTTTTGTTTGGTGAATATTTATTCGTTTGATCAAAGAGCTAAGTTCTACTCTCGTATCTGTACTCGTAGCTTTTGCTTTGTAAACTTTATTTCTTATTATTGTAGATGTTGTTTTGTTTATTTGGCAATGTATTCACTAATTTAATAACGTTCTTTCTAGCCAAATTCAAAAATATTTTTCTGTTCCACATATGACTTTTACTGTAAACATATTTTGCATACGTGTATTGTTTTTTAAATTTTAGACGTAACATTCTTACGTTTTGCATATATCGTTACTTTCGATTGTGATGAGCCATAAAAATTATTTGATATACGTATTTATTTAATTGACATGTTCTCAGTTGAGTCTAGTTTTTGTTTCATTTTTGAGTTTGATTGTCCTTTAAATTTAGCTGTTAAGTAGACATAACAGTTACAGCTTGCATTATCCACGCATCGGGAAATAAATCTATATTTAACTGCGTTGAAATATCTATTTATTTAAACAATCGTTACAGTAGTGCCAAACTAATTGTCACTGTGAACAAGTAAGCGGTAATTTTTGTTTTCAGGGCTTGCAACCATAACTCGCGGCATAGAGGGTGAGAGAGTGCGCTAGATCGAAACTGTACGAGTACTTGCGAGGGTAAATAATAAATAAACGACTTCTTGTAACTATGCCAATGCTAATTTTCTACATTTGTTCGTTTAAAGATGGATTATCAATCGCAAATCGTGCGATTTCGTTAATTTCATATACAAATAGTACATGAGATTCGGGATTAATAATTTTTCATATTACTCCTGATCACACAATTAAAAAAGTAATCTGTAGAGACTACATTTTTATTGTGTAAGGATAAAAGACATTAATAATAGAAAGCGTTATATATGGTAACTATTATTAAATATTATTCATAAGTTTGAGATATTTGCATGTTGTTACACTTACATTTATAGCAGGGTCAGATTCAACTGCCGTTATTGAAGGGTGTATTGAAATCTGTAAATAAGAAAATGATATATCCTAATATTAAAATGCTTTAAAAAAAATGAATGATAAAACATGTCATGTTATGAAATTTATCTTTATTCGTGTAAATTATTGGAACCTACAGGCTTATTAGTTATTTATCATTTCTTCTTTTATACTTAGGGCATAAGAAGTTTGCAATGACATTCAAAAAAGAAGAATACTAAATTACTCATGCAAAAAATGTTATAAAAATAAATATATATGCTTACAAAACAAGAATAGTCTATAATATTTGATGAGACGGCCATTTTTTTACATATATCTTTTAGTACTTAGTCCAAATGTAAAGCCAGTTGGTCGAATTTGAAATAAGATTTTTTTAAAAAATATAAAAACGTCAACTTTCATGAGTTTTTCGCGATTTTTAAAGTTTTATATAAAACAAAGAATAATTAAATTCAGATTATACAGACCACAAAAAAATTAGGTGGTTCTAGGATAGAGACTATACTTTTTTTTTTAATTTGAGTTAGTAGTTAAAAATAAGGGTTTGACCGCGAATTTTGAAGATAATCTTAAAAAACTCTTGAAAAGCCATGTTTCTGTGGTAAGAACTTTAGAAAAAAAATACATTATTTACTTTCCATTACAAATACTTGGTTTTTATGTACTTTTAACTACTCAATCCGAAACTATTATGAAAAAAAAGTTTTAATCGTTGAGTTTCGTAGATAACCACAAAAAACTGCTCAAAAGTCTCCTGCACAAGAAATAAATTCGCTTACAATTCGTTATACATTTGTCATTGAACTACCTATTCGTCAAATTTATGTGCCGCTTTTTTCTATTACATTGTATATCTCCATTTAGCATCGAATTTCTTTGATCTTTGAAGAACGTCTTTCACGCGTTGTATATACCAAACGTCCTGTATCTTGTAAAACGCGTAAACCTCAAGCTCGTCTTCAAATTCTGCAGCGCTCCATTTCTATGAACGATTTCATAGTCTAGCTGCTGAAACTCTAGCATCTACCTTTCCAAACGATATGTCAACTCCCGTTTATTTAAAATCCTAGTGAGGACGCTATGATCCGTAACGATAACAAAATGTAAACCTACTATATAAGGTCTAAACATTTTTACCGCAAAAAGTTCGATTTCGCTAACCGTATAATTTCGCTCATGCGCGTTTAGCATTCGATTGGCGTAACACATAGGATATTCGCCGTCGTCGATTACCTCAACCAAAGGAAGAGTCATCGCAATGCAGATAAAAAGGACGCACAAAATCCGGGCGCGCAAGTACCAGCACCCCTGTTAATGCGCGATTCAACTTTTCAAATGCAACTTGCTGTTTCTTTTTCCACTCCCACGGCTAGTCTGTTCGAATGAGCTTAGTCAATGGGACTTTTATCTCACTTTAGTATTAGATAAAACGCGCATACCATCCTACCCTATCTAGGAAATGGCGTAATTGAGCTACGTTACTTGGCGCGGGATAATCCACTATTGGTTTTACATTGTCATCATCCGGATGTAAACCCTCACTATCTAACCGGTACCCTAAATAAGTTACCTTGGTAGAAAAGAAATCAGACTTTTCTAAGTTTATTTCTAACCCAACACTGACCAAACATTACAGAACCTTTTCTAGCCAAAGCACATGACTGTCGAAGTCTACACTAACTACCCGCAAGTCGTCGAGATACCAGAAAACATGCGGCTCATACTCTGGACCGAAAAGCGCATCCATAAGGCGCGTGAAATAGCCGGTGCGTTGACCAAACCGAACGGCATTCGCTCCAACTCCCATAGACCTAGATCTGAGACTGCAAATGCAGTATACTGTTGGCTATTTTCCGATAGCGGAATTTGCCAGAATGCCGCTCACAGATCTATTTTCGACAGGTGTACTGCTCCGCACAACTCATCCAAAATATATACTAAGCATCGGATACGCGTCTACGTTCGTTACCTTATTCACCGGTTTGAAATCAAGACAAAATGTGTAACCGCCGTCTTGTTGACGTACTATCACCGGTGCCTCACACCATTGACTGTTTGATGGCCTAATTAATTATTTTCGCCTTCCATAGCCGCATGGTTTTTTCCTGCGCAAATGTTAATATTAGAGACGATATTCGGCGCATCGACGTCTTTATCAGGCGCGCATCACCTATGTCTATGATGTGTTCGATAACCTTCGTAACCGCCGGCGATTCACCATGCTCAGGGACAATCCGGCGACCTAACGCCACGATTGTCTTTCGCTGATCCTCTTCGTACGTACTCAAATCTGCACATTTTGCAAAAACATCTACCGTTTTGCTGTCTCGCTCTGCTAGCTGATATCAATTGCCTTGGTCGCCTGTCCGCCAAGCGCGATTCCTATAACTGATATTTATGTCCCACTTATTCCAAAAATCCGCACCTAAAATCAAATCGTGTCTAAGCGTAGACAGTACTGACGCAACTAACCAATCAATCCTACCACCGATTTCCATACTTAGCTTACAGTCACTCGACGTTTCCAGTTTCTCACCTGAGATACCCTGTAAGAATATCATTGGCGGCCTCAACCGGTTCCTAAACCGTAAGCCAAGCTTCGACCCTAATACTGATACCTGTGCACCCGAGTAAACAATTCGAATAGTTGTCCAGATCGATGATATTGGACGTTGTCCAAACTTTTTCCACGTGACTGTACTCATCACTATTATCTGAATCGCACAGACTGTTGTAAAAATCTTGCTTTCATGTAAGAGTTGTCTCATCGAGTTTTGTAAATGACGATACATAGTTATACGGAAATACATCTATTCTTTTGAGTAAGGCGATCTGTGGCAAGGTGTATCCATGAACTTGCAGAAAATTTAACTCTAGAATATCATGTTTTTCCAAGTACAACGATAGATAATTTGTTGAGAGAAGAGATCATAAATCGAAAAAAATCGACGAAATGTAGATTTATATCGGTACCTTCTACAATACTTGGTAAAAGATATGTATTTTTCCTTGTTTAGGAATGAAGCTCACCTGACCAGAAAATTCGTTCGCGATTTCTTTAATAAATAGATACGTATCCACTGACAAGGGAACCACCCCAACCCGACCTCACCGATTTAAATGATTTTGGGATATGTTGTAGTACTTGAAAAAAAATTAGATACGTCTTTTTTTTATCGACACATAAGAGCTTTTAAGGGATGAAATCGACCCTAAAAATCAACCCCTAAAATCAGTTTTTTTAATATTTCTCAGCAACAAATGAATATTTTTCAGTAATTCAACGTTAAAAAATTTCTTATAAAAAGGCGCTTTTAAGGACATAACATTTATACCGAAGGGTTGCAACCCCCTTTTTAATAGGGGTAAATACACTATTTTTTGTACTGTTTTACGACATGTAATATAGTAAATCAGCTCGAGTGATTTAAAAATCGCACTGATAATGAGAAAATACCAAACTTAAATTGACGTGTTTCCGGATTTAAAAAAAAATATATTGAAGGGGTGTTTCACCCCTAGAAACCACCCCCCGTCAAACTATAAGCAAGTTAATCCACTTAGCCCTGCGAAACACGAGTTAAGTCGTTTGTTATTTCCTGAAATAATTTAATCCTGTGCATGAGGGAGCTACCTCAACTAATCAACCTGCCTCTAACCCACCAATCCCCCATAAACCACGCTTACCCAACCAAATGTAGGCTAATAGATCTAACTTTGGGAGAATTGAGTATATCAGTGGCTTTTTCTTAAAATAATTGATTTTTAAACCGTACGTGGGGTATCCCATTTTTTTTGTTAAAATATATCTGTAGCTGAAAAATAATTCACGACAAACAAAAATATGTTGAATATATTTTATTTTAATAGTATCAAAATGGCGAGAAATATCTCTTAAAAATAAATACGACAATAACACGAGGTCTAATTATCATTTATAAATCTATACATATATATTTATATTCGTATGTAAATACATAAATATATTTACGTAAGAGCCATCGTACGCGATATATTTTGATTTATCATAATAATTTTCATCTTTTTCTTTTTTTATTCATTGGTAAATTAAAATGTATCATTCAACGAACTTCTTACAGAAATGATAATCATCGAAAAAGTGTTTGAAACAGAATGATCTTTTACACCAACCAAGCCGTATTATAGCAACATTTTTACATGCTTCTACTTCGCAATGTATATTGCAAGAATCTCCAAAACTAAAATCAACAGGGTTATCTGTTTTAGCTGGTTTTTCAGCAATGTAGCCGCTTTTATACCAAGCGTATTTAAAAATATTTGTATATCTTGGTGAAGAAAGCTGGTTATGGACAAGAGACTGCATTTTCATAATGTTATTTCTTAAATGTAGATTCATTTCATAGTCCATCAAAATTACTTGATCTGAAAAACGTCGAACGAAGGTTTTCCAGATACGAAATCCATAAACATCGAGTGGTTGGATGTTCCCTGTCGTTCCTGTGGGAATTTTTTTTATATTAACAATTTGGTTTGTCGGCATCGTTTCCCTTACAGCTTTATCGCAATGTCCACTCCAAGAGTCGAGTAAAAGTACAGATTGAGATTCAACATTTGGGTAAAAAACTTCTTTCAACCAAATTTTAAAGTGATCTAAACTACAAAAATGTCAAAATTTTTTTATGTCATTGCATTATAATAAACAAAAATATACTAACTTGTCGTTAATTTTCCAGATTTAGATGCTTCCACATGCACATTTTCTGGTCTAAATAATGAAGATTCCACTATGGGAACGAATTGACCACTTTTTTCTTTTAATACTATAAAAAGTGGTGATAAAAGTTACCCGGTTGCTGATATAGTTAGCTGAATTGTATAATTATGCGTTGTCGATGAAACCGACTATACCAGACATTGCACCTGCTTTTCTCCTTCAACTGCTAATGTTCTTTCCGAGTGCATTGCTAATTGGAAACCACTCTGATCTGAATTATAAAAGTTTGCAATGCCGATTTCTGGTATACATGATTTAACATCAG